TGGAAGAAAGGGAAAAATTAAAAAAAAAAAAAAAAAAAAGCAAAAATGACTTTTGAGCATACGTCCTGCCTTAAGTAACTTTCCAGGAGAGCTTCTGAAAATGTTAGCTGAAATTTCAAGTATAAGGGCCAAACTTGACCTCCACCACATGGGCATGAGCTGCACACATTGGTGAGAAATAGATCAACTCAATCCTTTGGACTGGAGAACTGAACTGAACGCCAAGGCTAGAAATAGACATCACCAAATGAACCAGATTAGTTGTGCTGGGATATAACCTTACTTGTATGACCAACAGGCTGGACAATGGGCTATACTGTCCAGCTTCCAGAAATGTACCCCAGAGATCCCAAGGCATGTCCCTGGAAGCAAAGAAGCCTGGCACTTCCAAGGCTTGAGGGGTCTGATCCTGCATGGAAATTCCTGGGGCACAAAGGACCAGGCCCCAAGAGCACCTACTCAAGGCAGTTGGAGGGTATGGGCAGCTCTGCCTGCTCATGGTCTCCTGCCATAAACCAGAGACACCCACTGCAAAAAAAAAGCAGCACAAATTACTACCTTTTGTCACAACTACATTGTGGCAAGACAGAGTATGGACATCTATTTGCTTTGTGCTATCATAAAACATTTTGTGGCAGCAGAAAAGCATGGAAAGGCTACTTCTGTTTCTACCATAAGAGAGAAATGAGATGCCACTGACCTTTTTCCTTCTTTTGTTCTAGTTTACTTTTCTTAGCCAGCAGCTTCTTCTCTTTCAACTTCTGGCTGTAAAGCAAGGAAAAAACCCCAAACTCTTACACAGAGGAATTCAAGCCTTTCAAATTTTCTGTATTTTTTAATCAGGAATTTACAGAGAATGTATTATATTATTGGACACTCACACCTTTAAAGACAAGTTCTAGTCAAATTTGCCCTCAATATACAAAATTGGAGCAAACAAGACCTACAGAAATGTTTCCTTTCTTGATTTTATTTGAATGAAACCCATTTTTCTTTTTGAAATCATTTAATTCCCTTAAAGCACTTACAACTCAAAAATGTGCCAGCACGTAAGAACTTTAAAATGAAAACTAATGAAAAGCAGAAATGAAATTGACTCATCCATCTTCAAAGCCAACATAAAACATAGAAAAAGCAGCAGTGGTTAAAAGCCAAATTATTAAAATCTTACATTAAAAAATCCCTTATTTTTACCAGCGACAATATTTTAAATTGAAAGCATCCCCTGAAACAGACTAATACATTATAAACTGATCTTCCTTCTCAGTGTGTTTCTGCCTATCCATAAGGAATAGGAGGGCATTTCAGTCCCCATGGCCCATTTCTCACTGGCCCCCTTGGTCAAGAGTGCTGACAATGGTAATAATTAAAGGAAAAGGTGACAAGAGAGCTTGACATGTGGACATCTGCTCGCAGTTAAATTAACTGAGATCAAAGAGAAATTGCAGAGGCTCAGAAGTCATCTTAGTCTAGCAGTTTAAAGAAATAGTGCAATAAAATGGACTGTGGACTTTAATGTCTACATTGTTCCAATGCATTTCTTATTAACAGGAATGTATACATATCAGTCCCATGCATGCTGATGGGTGTCATTACAAGATGGACTTAAACATTATATTAACCAATAGTTCCATGTATTTGCTATATTTACAGACCCACATTCATAGTTTTTAGGGCTGGAAGGGACCTCAGAGGATCATCAGGTCCAGTCCCCTGCACCAAGCAAGAAAGATAACCGGGGGGCCAGGTGACCGCAGCAAGGTGACTGTCTAGTCTTCTCTTGAAGATTTCCAGGGTAGGCAATAGCACCACCTCTGGAGGGAGCTTATTCCACAGTCTGCACACCCTGACTGTGAAGAAGTTTTTCCTAATTTTGAGCCTGAATCGATCTTCCAGGAATTTGTGGCCATTACTCCTGGTTTTCCCCTCAGCTGCCGTGGTGAACAGTTGGTCACCAAGCCCTTGATGTACTCCCCTAGCGTAGCGGTAAGCTGCTACCAGGTCCCCTCTCAGCATTTTTCCCTCAGGCTGAAGAGTCCCAGATCCCTCAGCCTTTCCGCATACTCCATTCATTACTAGAGTAAGCAGGCACAGCTGTTAAATCCACAACACTGCAACTTTAGGCCAGTGGCCAGTTTGCAGTCTTTTGACTATCCACATGCAAACAGTGAGCTGGCCTACCCATGCCAATTTATCTGCAATACTCATCTACAGTATCATCAGGTTCTTTCTGCTGGCCCACATCCCAGCATAGACCCAAGATGCAAAGTCATTCTCTGAACAGCAGGTCCTTGGCTCCAATTGCTAGACATTCACACAGTCCAGATCTACATATAAACTCCTGCTGGCACAGCTATGTTCCTCAGGTGTTCAAGAAGCTGTGCCAGCAAGAATCCTAGTTAAAATGCAATTATACCATGGTACTGCTGATGCTGAAATAAGCTATGACAGCAAATCCTTTCAAGCACAGGCCCAACCTTATAAAGGCAAGGACAGTGCTAACAAAAATGATCTGTGTAGCCAGACATCTCAGGTGAAAAGTTCTACAGAAAGAAGGCAGCATTTATCTCTAAAGCACATGGCTACAGATAAAGCATAGCATTAAGGTTTTGACAATCTGCCCTCACCGCTTCTTTCTGCGTTTCGCTGTCTGCTCCTCTGCAATCATCTTATTCCTCTCCAATTTCTTTTGGAATTCCTCATCCAGTTTTTGCTGTAATTGATCACATGTGACACTTTGGTTACAAACTAAATTTAATACCATTCAGAAGCCACCTCCATTTAAAGAAAAATCTTTTAGCAAATAGCTGGGAGATTTTCCAGGAAGCTTTTGTTAAGATGCCTTCTTGTATTAAGAAAGATTGCATAGGTAAGTTTTATGCAGACAATATTAATCAAAAACATCAAGGACTGAACCCAGATATCCATAATAAGGGGGTAGAAATCCTCATCAACTTCATTGGTGGCAAAGACATCAGGACCATGTCCTACAGAGTATTAGAATAAAGCAGCATACCAGGAACATAAGCAGCAACATAGGAATTGGAACAGCTTCTCAAACTTTATCAAGATAAGGAACTGACAGAGGGACACTGGTCCCTGAAACAGAACTGCCATTGTATTATTGGTTCAGGACTTAGACAGAAGTCCTAATATTAAAAAGGAGTCCAGGCCTCTGGACTCATAAAATCCTAATGCTTGTGTTCAAGTATTTGGTTTTATGCTTTCTTTGCAAGATAAGAACTATTAAGGATTTCTTTTGATTTTTAAGAAAGCATGAACAATTCTGCTTACCTCACTAGCTAGAAAAAAATTCTACCCATTTCTATATCTAAGCACTCTTAGTCCAATTTGGAAACAGGAACATACATATTTTGGCTTTATATGTATTCCCTAGAGTCACCCACTGAAGAGGAAGGATAGATCAGGTCTGCAGCAAAGCACTGATATTTTAATACTTTCTTCAAAGGCCACACATATCCCATATTAAAAAAATAATTATAAGACCAGACAGTTTGGAACTAAGCTAGTCTCTCTTCTCATGATCTTAGGAAAAAATTACCCAGTGAATATCAAGCAGTCAGACAAGTGACTATAGTAAGAATCCACTGACCTTCTCAGCCATTGCATCCATAAAATCCTGTCTCTGATACTCTCTCCGGCGAAGATGGCGGTACACATGGAATTCACCACTGCCAGCTCCAGCACTAGAACCTGCCAGTGATACAGGAATGGTTGGAGAATCAGCATATAGCAGAGAAGAGCACACCAAGACACTCACAAATGACTCAATCTCAGACATGGTATACCAATAGTACTGTAGGCATGAGAAGTTTGCTACCCATTTTTATCAAGCCCAGATCAACAGGAAAAGCTAAAGCAAGTTATAAGATACTTGCAACTCAGTACTGCAGGATCTGTGTACTGGTCAACAATCCACATCACTAAAACCATCATCACCGTTAGTTTGTTAATCAGAATGTTTGCTAGGAGTATCAGCTGAATCTCTACACCAGCGGTTCTCAACCTTTTTAGACTCGTGTCACCCTTTAGAAAACACCAGCTTTTAGGTTTCACTCATGTCCCGACTCCAGAAAAATAAGGGAGCAATTCTGATTTTGCAGAGAATTCAATGGGCTCATAACAGATCAGGCTGTTTTTAACACAACGGATTCCTACCTGAAATTCGTGTGTTTACCTTGTGAATCATGTTTGCACGCTTAACAGTGCTAACGTTCCATGGCACCCATAGCGCCCTTGAAAGGATCTCAAGACACTCCAGGGTACCAGAATCACTACTCTAAACACTGAGTGGGTCACAGAAACAGTGCTCTCACACCCTGTCCTAGGCAGAGAGGCACAATTGAGAGGGCAACTTACACCTTGTTCTGCTACGATAGAGCTGAGGCTGTTTTCCCCTGCCTCTTTCCTATAACTAGCTAAATGAAAAACAAGTACAGAAAGCAAACAACAGTGAACAGGCAGGTTATTCCCTCAACAAAAGTTAACCCAAAAAAACCAGAAAACAAAAAACAAACAAAAAAACCAAGCAAAAAACCAAACCAACCAAATAATAATTAATAAAAAGCCACAAGTGTCACCACTTCCTGGTTGTACCCCTTGCTCAGACACAGGCTCTGTGTGACCATGAACAACGTAACTTCAATTTCTTATCGAGAGACAGAACACTTTTGGGGGCGCTGAAATGGAGACCCTTAGAGAGGGCAGAATCACACCCAACTTGCTATTCAGCAACGACTGGCCATATTCACTATGGCCAGGTGTACAGACAAACTTCCTGGAGAGCCCAGCCTCTGGCTTTACTTTTCAATCCATCCAGGAAGAGCACACACCAACTACTGAAACTTCCTCAGCCTGACAAAGGGTTTTTGAACCTGAAAGCTTGCTTAAAATTACTTTTTCCCCAACTATTTAAGTTGGCCTAATAAAAGACATCAGATTCACCCGAAGAGCCTTGTCTGGAGAGGTCCAGGCATTTATTCTGGACACCAACAGCAACAACAAACCTCAATAAAGATGAGAACTTCAGCAATGACTTGGAGACAGTCCGGGCCCTTTTAATGGGAAAGCAGAATAGACTCCCCCCATCCTGCCATGCTTTCATCTAAGCCTCAACTGCTCAACGTGCGGGCGTTGGACATGAACCCCCTTACCCATGACATCTCGGACAAACTCTGGGGGAGGTCGCGGCGCCCATTCACTCAGTTTCTCGGGGATGGGAACAGTCTTGTCCTGCAACAATAAACCAGCCGGGCGTCAGCGCCTGCCCTGGGGGAAGAGACCGCCGTGTCCGAGTCCTACTTGGCGCAGATCCCAGGGCTGGCACAACCCAGGTTCCAGGGGCTGGGGGACAGCAGCAGCCGGGAGCAGGAGGGGAGAGGGAGCTTCCTCCCGGCAGGGGGCTTGCCCGAGGGGGACCCCCAGGCCAGGCGGGGCCGAGGGAGCTCAGCACCTCCCGCATGGCCCGGAGCGCAGGGGTGGGCGAGGCCGGGCCTCACCGGGTTCTTCATGAGGCGCTCCAGGCGCAGGCGCTGTTCCTCGGCCGCGCTGCGCGGGATGACCAGCGGCTGCGGCTCCTTGCGCGGCCGCGGCGGCCGCGGGGCCGAGGGCGCC